AACACCCGGTCTTTTTCTTTCCGCCCTTCCGGCGTTTTCATTCCGAACATCCGGAAACTGAAGTTCGGAATGGACTTCTCCGACCGATGTCCGTAAAAAAAATGAGGACGAAAAGGGACCACCCCAAATGCCTGATGTACTGTATTGTTCATATAGGTACGGAAAATAGGACAAGAATATTGATCAGACTTCATCATGTTTAACCTTTGAAAAGTGTTTGCCTCAAAATATTCGAAGTATTTGATCTAATTATGTTCGCTGAAAAAGAAAAACTAAGAATTTTCCCCTGAGATAAACGGTTCCTTTTGCTCGTGTGGCTAGACAAAACGGATCTTGCGAAAATTTATCACACGAAAGATTGAATGCCACCAAAATCAGCCGATATGAAAAATAGTCGAATTTAATTGAAAGAGAATAATATTCTGATAAAACTTACATGTGATACAGATAAATAAAATGACGAAAAATAAAATTTCAGACAATGGTACAGAAATTGTTTATACAAAAAGTATCAGATATTTGTGTGATATATGCGAATTGTTATAGCCAGAGATTACTTCAGAGAAGCTTATATATTATGATCAATATCTATCACAATAAACTAATTTTTATTTAATCTATTATAATGATCGGATTGTTAATTCTTCTTATTTTGATATACTTAAATGGGACAGTTCTATTTTTCTAAAATGTCAAGATTTACATTGAGTACATCAAAAAAGAATAAACTTTTTACTACTTTGTAACGAATTTGCTTCTTCTATTGATAAAACAATAATAAAACTTAATGGAAATGTGAAAATGCTCTAAAGTTTAAACGTACAGATTGAATTTACAGTATAATTATATTAGTACTGTATTGTTCTATAATAATGATAATCATATAATTGTCTTGATAATCTTGTTTCAAGGAAAATTTGAATATTTGAAAAAATTCATCCGTGATGAAGTAATTAATTGAAGCAACGCTACAGAAATTGTTACTGATAATTTTCTAACAATTTATCTGATAATGTCGTAGCACATCTTCCTGAATTTAAACATATTTAGCAAAATATTCGAAATTTGTGAGCAAAACAGGATTTACTAAAATTTTGGACACATTACCAATAACGAAACGAAATAATATATTTCTACAAATTCATTTTGACCTAGGCAATTATCGCGTAGTAGTCTTTTCATTAGTTGCATATAGTTGGAACTTCTTGAAAATCCAGTAAAATTATTAGCTGATGGAACGTTCAAATTCTGTAGAAAGTCTCTACTAGTATTCATATTTGATTAATAAACTAAACTCTTTAGGTATCACTATCGATCATTTTATCAATGCTATCCACGTAGTTTATCGAAATGCTGTTGTACTTGCGGTATTCACATTATTGCCAAACAAAATTCAACACACTGATAGTCGTCTTTTTGATAAACTGGTAGAGCTTCGTCCATCGCGAAGTTCAACATTTATAATGATAGACTTTGAGAAAGTCTGCATAAATTCATCTGCTCATCATGTTAATAAAATCGTTGCCCTCGCTTTTCTTCCTTCAACGAATGTTAGTCAAGGTTTTGGCAGCCTTCACAAGTCATTACCACAAATATTACATCCTTTACTAGATTATTTTGAGGATACGTATGTAGTAAGAAATCGTCCACAAAGACGATCAAAACCAATGTTTGAAATCGAATGCTATAATGTAAACATCCTACACTTCGGATATTCATTAATAGTTTAAAAAATGAAAACCGTTGTATCTATGGTCAATCGATAAAAGTTAACGCTCGTAAAACCATCGAGTGAAAGAAAACATATTTTAATTATAGTATACCACTGCATCATTTAATTATCCACCCACTACCATCCATCTATTCTACAACAACTTGAAGAATTTAGTTCATAATATATAAATTCTCATTCATACTTTAATCTATCTTTTCTTTTTTTTGTCGATTGTTCTTTTTGTGTAGCTGTATAATTGCATCTATATAGTTAATATTAATTCACATTTGTCTTTGAGAATGCAAGTTTCTGTTTTTCATTGAGAAACAAATTAATTTTATTATTGTACATTTCTCGACGAATGTTTGCTGTCCTGTGAAGCCTCTATGAAGAAAACTTTGAAGGAATACAATTATCCATATTTCAAGACAACTCGATATTCAAATCAATTTTTCCCTGTTACAGAATAAAATGTAACTAAAAAATGAACGTAAATTTTACATTTTAGCTTTTAGGAAGGCACCCTAATTATAGTGTTGATCGTTCGGTTAACAGGTCATTACGTGTGTGTTTGAAGATGCTCTTCTTTTTTCGCATATTTATTATTATGATTCACAACCTAGATGCCTTACTGCATCTCTGAGTCATTCACAACATTTTTTCCATACAATAAAAAAATGATCACATTAATGAATCAGCAAGGTGAATCATACTTTATAACTCAGTTCAAATTTCTTTTCATCTTACTATGACACATCAGAGAAGCACGCTTGAATGACGTGGCGTGTGAGTTGTGCAATATCTCTTTTGTTTTTCGACCATATAAAACCTTCCAGTCGCATATATCTACTCAACATTAACTTAATTTGTACTCCATAATTCACAATAACATGGCAACAACAAATGCTGATGAAACTTTAAATACTCTAGAAGAATGTTCAATATGTTTAAGTCCATTAACTCAACAAGGTGTGGATGTTTATACAACAGCATGCCTACATAAATTTCATTTCCAATGTTTGGTCAAGA